TATGTTTTGAAGAGGACATTGAAGGCGAAAAGGGGCTCGAATAGCCGCCAGTTTTTTTTTCTTCGGAAAGCTGTACAGTTATCTTGGACGACATATCGCGTACAAGTACAGTGTACAAAACAGCAGTGAAAATAAATTAATGAATTCAAAGTTTAATTCTCTTCTCTCAATTATTTTGTGAAATATAATTACCAACAAATATATAAATTTTTACCAGAGTGTATACAAAGCGACTTTTCAAGCGGTACATGAAAGCGTTTGACGCGTGACCAGGTACGCGTAATTGCTTTCAAAGCATGCAAACTCAGACTACAGTATCAGGTAGCACAGGTTGCTGGCCTGTCAATCAAATCAGCAGCTATTTTTTTTTATTTTATTTTTTATTTTTTTTTTTTGTATGATTGTCGGGCGGTATATTATCGATCTTAAGCTAGGTAGATTTTGTGGGCGTTAATGGAAAATTGGGTGTTTAATAAAAGCACATGTACTTGTCATATGCTGGAGTTACAAAACTATAGTCGACAGAGTTTTTCACATAGCATGTTCAGAGTTGGTGTAATCATAAAGATAGCCATTTTAAAAAGAAATAATGTAAAAGTGTTTAGCAATGCGTCTTATTGTTTTCAAAATATATCTCTTTTGAATTCTTTGTCTACAAACCTTGTATGTCAAGTTAGAATTATCTGCAGAATTAACCACACGCAATTAATCTCCGAAATTAAACAACTGAGAAATAAATCGTTTATTAAATACATGTATGCAGTTTAAAGATTAGGATTCATGAAATGGGGACTTTTATACGTCCTTAATAAAATGCTTTGGATTTCAATTAAATAAAATTAAGATAAGAATAAATGATTTAATTGAATGATCCGGTATGATTTAAAAAATAATTTTCCGTAAATCATTGTGTCAGCAAAATGAATATATAACGACAATGTTTTGTGTATGAGCACTAATAGTTACATAATTGTAAACAAACACGAAACCCGGGTATATGTGAAACGCAGTTAAATGCAGTTAAAGACTGATTTATTTTTTGCTTATTTTTTTTAAATTTAATATAGTGTACGTTTCAACATTAAACGACGAAAAGATATTTTGTTTACGAACGCAGGTCGCTGGTTCACACGCAATGGATCTCTTGTAATTTCGGCCACAATAATTTAATAAGTATATCACCAACATGATCAACATAGATAAGATGAAATAATTTGAAAGATCCGATATGATTAAAAAAAACAATTATCCGTACATAGTTTAGATTGCAAAATAGATTTAGAACGGCAATGCCTGTTTAGTGTATGGCCACTGATCACTGGATCCAGGTCACGCGTGATCGGGGAATGGCCGGTTACGCAATTATAAACAAAAGCAACCCCCGAGACGTATTGAAAATGTGACTCAATTATTTGGAATGAAACCACAGAACACGTGTAAAAACTTATTTTAAAGTAATATTAGTGTTTATTTTGGATAGGTTTATCATTTATAGCAAGTTTATTTCAGTTATGCGCATAAAGATTTCACCTTCATTTGTCTAATGAAACTAGTTACCTGTATATGGGTCAAGCTTCTGGCTCATTTATTAAAAGAGACTCGAAAAAATAACAAGTTCATGAGATCAATAATATGTTAAAGAACAACTTTTTAGCGACAGCTTTTTCGAGATATTTACCGTTTTTGAGTTATAAAACGAAAACTTTCAAGGACCCTAGATCCCTAATTTATGGGACCAGCCCCTTTTTGGTGGTGACAAATGAAAGACCTTAAAATTGTGCACATTTATTCAACATGTCTTCACAAAATATTTTTAGTTTAAAAGATACATAGGAAAATATGTGTAAATTTTCGCGCTTTTAGGCGTTCTAATTTTTTACCCCTATCTAGTGCCTTTTTGAACACGGAAATCAAAAAACAAAAATAGATGTGCACAACTTCAATGCTTCTATTATTTAAATTCGGTAGAATTTCTACTCCAGCTTTTGCAGTCTCGAAGCTTTTATCTTGAAATGAAGCCTCCTTCATTTTCATTTAAAGGGAGATAACCCAAAAGCGGAAGTGAATTTTTGACATGTTTGAAGGCATTCTGGTAGAGTTTTGTAACGTCTATAAACCCTGCAAATTTGAGCTAAATCCGTTGAGAAATGAGCGAGATATGAGGCCTCAAAGTTGGCGTCTGGAAAGGAGAAAAAGAAAAAAAAGAATAATAATCTTACCCATCAGAATCAGTAGAAGGTCTTCCGTTGTGACGAAAGACCTTAATTAGGGTGCAATGTAGAGAGGATCCTTAACAAGAGGCCTAAGGGCCTTAACGGTCACCTGAGTATGATACAACAATTTAAAGGATGCATAGAGTATCAAATGAACTGAAAGGTGAAGCTTTGTTGCCCAAAAGCATGAAAAATAGGGTGACCATGATCAACAAAATAATTGGTCTTAATATTCATTAACAGTTCATCAATTAGGTTCTAATCTGTTCCCCATTTATCAATATCACCATACAATATAATTAATAACAAATTATCAATGCTTTTGTACTATTTTAATTCCTTGTTGAAATCTCTTACATTGGCCTCTCTTGGTCTTTGACGAACATTTAATAAAACAAGTTATTTTTGTCTCATTTTTATTTATCTACTACTTACAAGTCCACCTGGTCATTAAAACTATGAAAGTTCTTTTTGCATTATACAATAAAAGTTTTTGCATAATTCTTTTATTCTATTTACCTTTCAAGTACATTATTTACAGTGATAAATTATCAAAAGTAAATGGCAAAGGGGAATAACTCCTCTCAGTAGAATACAAACTTATAGAGCCCAGGCCAGGACCAGAACACTTGACCAAATGGTGCAGATGTTCATAAATCTGGTAAAAATTCCCTTCCTTATAAAAACTTTTACTCTGTTTGCCTCAGATATGCCCAGGTGCGGAGAAGATTTCTAAATAAATAATGCATTTTTACTACAGATTCACTATATTGTCAATAGAGCTTCTGACCCTGGGACCATAAGTTTGCTCATCATATCTAATCAATTTGTTTATCTGCTTAACACTAAGGAGCAAAGAGGATTATTTAATAGATTTAATGCATTTTCACTATATTATCGAGAGCCCCACCCTCACACCAGCGCACCTGACCCAGAGGTCATGAAATTCAATACTCTGCTGGAAGAAGCACTCTTGCTCATCATAACTATACACTTAGCTTCTCTGCTTTTTTAACAAGAAGCAGAAAAGAATATTTTCTTAGAAATTTTGCTTTTTCACTTTATAATCAATAGACCCCCCCCCCCTTCACCATTCACCAGAACCCTTAAACCTGGGGTCATAAATTTCACAATTTTGGAAGAGGCATCCTTGCTTATCATAACAATGGACTTAGTTTGTTTAAATAATACCCAGGTGCAGAGGAAAAGATTTTTAAAGAATTAAAAAATTTTCACTTTATAATCAATAGAGCCCCACCCTAACACCAGAACCCCTGATCAAGAGGCCACAAATTTCACAATTTTGGAAGAGGCATCCTTGCTTATTATAACTATGTATTTAATTTGTTTCAATAATACCCAGGAGTAAAGAAGATTTTCAAAGAATTAATGCATTTTCACTATATAATCCAAAGAGCCCCACCCTAACACCAGAACCCCTGACCCAGTGGCCATGAAATTCACAATTTTGGAAGAGGCATTCTTGCTAATCATAACTATATACTTAGTTAGTTTATTTAATACACAGGAGCAGAGAAGAAAATGTTCAATGAATTAATGCATTTTCACTATATAATAAATAGAGCCCCGCCCTAACACCAGAATCCCTGACCCAGGGGCCAGGAAATTCACAATTTTGTAAGAGGCACTCTTGCTCATCCTAACTATGTACTTAGTTTATTTAATACCCAAGAGCAGAGAAGATGATTTTCAAAGAAATAATGCATTTTCACTATATAATCAATAGAGCCACACCCTAACACCAGAACCCCTGCCCCTGGAGCCATGAATTTCACAATTTTGGAAGAGGCACTCTTGCTCATCATAACTAGTAACTTTATTTAATATCCAGGAGCAGAGATTTTCAAAGAATTAATGCATTTTCACTACATAATTAATAGAGCCCCACCCTAACACCAGAACCCCTGACCCAGGGCCATGAATTTCACAATTTTGGAAGAGGCTCTCTTGCTCATCATAACTCTGTACTTAGTTACTTTATTTAATAACCCAGGAGCAGAGAAGAAGATTTTCAAATAACTAATGCATTTTCACTATATAATCAATAGAGCCACGCCCTAACACCAGAACCCCTGCCTCTGGGGCCATAAAGTTAACAATTTTGGAAAAGGCACTATTACTCATCATACCGATATACTTACTTAGTTTATTTACTACCCAGAAGCAGAGAAGAAGATTTTCAAAGAAATAATGCACTTTCACTATATGATTTATATAGCCCCGCCCTAGCACCAGAACCCCTGACCCTGGGGCCATGAATTTCACAATTTTGGTAGAGGGCTCAATGCTTATTACAACCATGCCAACAGTTTGACTTCTTGATATCCAGGAGTAAAAGAAGAAGATTTTTAAAAATTGCATTAATTTTAGTGGTTTTAGCCCCATCCCTCAGGCCCCAGGGGGGCAGGGACCTTGAAATTCACAATTTTTGTTCCCCTTCAGCCATAGATGCTTTTTAAAAAGTTATCTTTATATTCTGTATCAATAAATCATAGCTTTACATATTTTGTATCAATATCAATAAATCATAGAAAACAGTTACTGTATAAATGCATATTTATTATATATGATCAATTGTGCCCCATCTTAACTTATGACCTAGTGAAGGAAGCACCTTAAATTAGCTCATCATAACAATGCAATTAATTAGTCTAATATCAAGAACAGATACAAAAATCTTGAAGGAATTGAAGAATTCTATTATATGTTCAATGGATCCTCGCCCTCACTTTAGTACCCCCCCCCCCCAACTCAGGAGTCATAATTTCACAATCTAGCAAGGGCATCTTTGCTCGTCTTAAAAATACACTCGGTTTTCTTGCTTGACACGAACATGCTCTTTTTGTCTATTGGGAGACATAAAGAATTGTTTTACTTGTCAAAGAGATTTAAACACACCCTTTGTCACGTGTATTTAAAAAACATTAAAGCGTAAAATTTAAATCTGCCTTACCGTTACATTTTCCACTGAATTTATCACAACCATTGGAGGCACAGTTTACACAGGATTCATTACAATTTTGACCATAAAAACCTTTCACACAGTCGGACTGGCATTTTCCGGTAGATCTATCACAAATGTTGGATAAACATTCGTCAGCACTACAGACAGATTGACAATCTGGTCCATAATATCCAATTTGGCAGCCATCTAAACAGTTTCTTGCTGTATTTTCACAATTATTGTACATGCACTTGTTGTCGCATGCCATTGTGCACTTATTGCCGTAAAACCCTGTGATGCATTTGTTCAAACATACACCGTCGGCCTGTGCACAATTAGACTGACCGTTGTTTGGGGCACACCCTGAACATGCCGAATCACACTTAGCTCCATAGTATCCTGCTTTGCATTTTGCACAGTTGCCCGTGTCCTGCGAGCAAATAAGATGATCACATTTATCTCCACATCTGATTTTGCATGTACCGCCGTACCAACCCGATGTACAGCCAAAGCAAGTCCCATTCGTACGATCACATTTTGATGTATTGCAGTTAGAACTACAAACGAAGGAACATTTCCCACCATAGAAACCAGCAATGCAACTTTCACATTTGCCTGTTTCACGATAGCAAATTCCATGAGCACAATTCGAATGACATGCCTGGTCGCATTTCTCTCCATACCATCCAGGTATACAATTACCAGCGCATTTTCCAGAAGCCTTTACACAACTAGTGCGATTGCAGTTGATGCTACAAGAAAGTTGACAATTTATCCCATAAAATCCAGCTTTACATGAACCGATGCACAATCCTGTTGACTTGTCACATCCAGCACTGTCACAATTGGGACAGGTTATGTTACAATAAGTACCGAAATACCCCGCTAGACAGATCGACTGACAAACACCTGTTTTTCGGTCACAGTTTGAACTCGGACATCCTCTGTAAGTACAGTCCAAGTCACCTGTTAAAACATTAATTATATGAAAGAAAACCCATTTATAGATAGAGAGAGAGACAGATAAATAGATAGCTAAATTCAGTTTATAGGGTATCACTCCCTCCGCCCAACCCGAGGTTGAACCCGAGACCTGCGGAATCTCACATCAGTACAAAAACTGCGGGCAATACCCCTTAGCTATCTCCCTACATATCACGGTCATTGAGGACACGGGCACTGGGAGTTAATGTAAATATTGGATGAGTGCATGTTTCTTAAAGGAAGAGTAAGACACACACTGTTTCAGGCTAGCTCGGTTTTGGGGTATTGTTGATATTTTTGAAACGGCCTAAGGCGATAAATCGTTTCTGCATTAGTATTACTTACTATGTACGTATACCTTGTTTCGTCCCCTTCCATGCATTTTACTTAAAGAAAGGGACGTTTCTTTTTACCTTAAAATCGTCTTAAAATACCCAAGAATTTTGCTAGATTGCTGTACTTAGGATTATAATAACAAACTAGACGAGCTTGTTGCAAAGCAACAAATAAGTCTTCCGTCTAAATTTGAAGGAGATGAGATTGAGATCGAGAGACTTCTACGGTCATATGTGTAAAAATGAGCCATTCACCATTACTCTCGGTGTGACCGGAAGTGACGTCATTTTGACGACTTTTAATGGTCTCCTTAGCTGCTACTTATCATTTTGAACAACTTTGCTTCTATGAAGCTATACAAATTCTCAATACTTTTTGAGATATCAGGAAAACACTTTTGGCCCCTCTAGCTCCCTAATTTTAGGGGCCAGGCCCTTATTGTTGGTATCGTTTGAAGGATCGTAACATTCTTCACAACTTTTGTTCTATATGTTTTAACAAAATATTTACAGGTAAAAAGATATTATAGAAAAAGTGTTAGAAAATTTAAAATTCCCGATAGGATTTTTTTCGGGCCATTGCGAGGACCGACGTGCGGCACTTCCGGTAAAAATGAAATGCGTTATGCATATCTACAGACATAGGTCTACCATACCTGAAAGTTTCATGTTTCTAACTAAAGCCGTATATGAGAAAATCTGGGGACAACCCGACCCTTCGAAAACCATTAAATCGGCAATATCTCCGGACCGGAAGTGACGTCATCAAAACAGAAAAAAGGCATAAGGTTCAACTGATGCTACATAAGTCCTGAAAGTTTCATGGAAATCCATCTAGCCGTTTTCGAGAAATCGCGTGCACAAAATCGGTAAGAAAAAAAAAAAACAATAACTAGAGCAAAGCTCATTGCAAAGCAACGAGTAGGTCTTCCGTTGGAGCTGTGGACAGGAAGTACTGACCTTGGGTCAAGGTCATTACACTTTATTAGGTGAAAAGTCGTCTCGAATGAAGTTTTACATTCCAATGTTTTACCAGCAGAATGGCAGAAGACAATTTTTCAGTTTCTCTCTGTGACCTTGGACTTGTCCAAATGACCTTGCATTAAACCATAACAGTTTCCAGTTATGGCTAATATCCATCTGTTCGTTTCCGACTAGACAAGATCATTTATTTTCTTTAAGACCAGGCCTGGAGGTTATAAAACTTTCTGAGTATGTACTCAGTGCTCAAACTTAAACTCCTTACTCCAAAACCATACTCTTGCTAAAAATTCCTCTCTAATTTGTATACAAATTTTGAGTATGAGTAAGGTTTTAGAGAACGGAGTATGAGTTTGAGCACGTACTCAAAAAGTTTAACCTCCAGGATAAAACATCTTATCTTCAAAACCGTTCACGGTAAGTCAGTCGGTAGAGCGTTCTCTCCGTGATCAGGTGGTCGTGAGTTCGAATCTCGGCCGCGACTGCCCTATCGACCTAAGTCGATAGAAAATGGGTAGTAACTGTTCCTTCGCCATGTGCTCGGCACTTTGAAGTGAAAGTTGCGGGTCTTTCGGATGAGACCTTAAAAACCGAAGCCCCGTGCTACGGCAACCGTTGGCACGATAAAGATCCCTCATGGCTCAATGGCCCTGAGTGCCGAGTAAAGGTCAAAATTTGAAACCCTTAACCGGTATATGGTGACGTCTCTATATGAGTGAAAAATTCTCGAATGGGACGTAAAACAACATACAACTAATCGATCAATCTTATCTACGATGCTTGTAATTAAATAGGTTAACTTTAATTATTTAAAAAAATTCATCGAAAATTTATTATGTCCAGTAAGGATATTTAAAAAATGTTGGATTCCTTAAATTTCTGTGTTGGCCTTTAAACTTTGAGTCCAAAACTCTAAGTCCACTCCGTAAATAAAAGTAAAAAGGGTGCTTTTCGACATGCTATCACAAAATGTTCTATAAAGCAGAACATATTGTCTGCAATACAAAATAAAAAAAAAATTAATTCAGTGAGTTGAAAATTACACATCATCTGGTCATACATAATCTTTCAGTGAAATACGGATACATGCCATGACCTGTTATAAATTTTACTTATTATATATAGATATATCAGTGACCTTAAACTTGAATGACCTTAGTCAAAGTCATGACACACCCTAAGGTAATAAACAACCTCTGTGCTAAGTATGAGCTTCCAGTGATTCTCATTATAAAGTTACGGCTTGTCAAGAATTTTGTACTTCTCTGCCAGTGACCTTGAACTTACCAGAAAGACCTTTGATCAAGGTCATGACACAGCATCCGATCAAAAGCAATCTCTGTATCAAGTAACAGCTTCCAGTGGTTTTTTTCTTACAAAGTCATAGCATGGAAAAGAAGTTATTTTTTCCGTCAGTGACCTTGAACTTGCCGGAAAAACCTTGGGTCGGGGTCAAGACAAATCCACAATCTCAAACACCCTCTGTTTCAAGAAAGATGTTCTTGTGATTCCCTTCGAAATTCATAGTCTAGAACGGAATTTTAAAACTTATTCTGTCAATGACCCTGAATTTGCTGGAATGACCTTTTTTGAAGTAATTTCAAACCGGAGGATCAGAAGCAATCTTTGTACCAAGTATGAGCTTTCAAATTATAGCCCATTTAGTAATCATACACTTTTCTTTAAGTGAACTATCAGGAATGACCTTGTGTCAAGTCGTAGCAAACCCTTTTGTCATAAGCAATCCCTGTATCAAGTATGAACTTCCAGCGATTCTCTCTTACAAATAAATGGCTCGAACAAACTTTTATTCTTCTCCAGTGACCTTGAATTTGTCGGAATGACCTTGGATCAAGACCATGAATGACCCTAGGATCATTGGCAATCTTTGTACCAAGTATGAGCTTCCAGTTTCTCCATAACAAAGTTATAGTCTGGGCAAACTTGGAGGGACAGACGGACAGCGGGAAAAATGAACAGCCAGACGAACAATGTGATTCCTTAACCCCCCCCCCCCCCTTACACATACACACACTTCGTTTGAATATGCATTTTGGTCCCAAGCTTCTCCCTAGAATTATGATTTGAAAAAAAAAAATGAATCTTTACTTTGTCAGGAAGTTTTCCTGTTTTCTCATTCTGGCCTAGTGGTTCTTGAGAATAATATTATCAAATGACCCCTTCCAATTTTTACTACCTGTATTTCTAAATTATCTTCTGTTGGAAGAGGATGTGGCCCTTATTTGAACAAAACTTTACCAAAGAATATTCTTCTGACCTAAGTTTGGTTGATAATGGCCCAGTGATTCTTGAAAAGATAAAAATGAAAAAAAAATTACAATTACGTTTGCAACGACAACAACGATTGGTTGATTGATTGTATATTGTATAGAGACTCATATAGAGACGTCAACATATACCGCTTAAGGGCTTCAAGTTTTGATCTTTACTCGGCACTCAGGGCCAGTGAGCCTTGAGGAATCTTTATCGTGCCAACGCCTGCCGTGACACGGGACCTCGGTTTTTAGTCTCATCCGAAAGACCCGCAACTTTCACTTCAAAGTACCGAGCACATGGCGAAGGAACAACTGCTTCCAATCTTTGATCGAGTAAGGTCAGTCGCGGCCGAGATTCGAACTCACGACCTCCCGATCACTGAGCGAGCGCCTACCAACTGAGCTACCGATAACAGTATGACAATACACCAAGAAAGCAAACAACGATGATAAAGAATGAACAAATTATGAACAGAAAATGAAAATTGAGTCTTTGGCTTGAGAGATGACTCAGAGATACTGATTAAAGATTGAAATTATTTTGAAATAGTCAATACTTTTTTACGATCGACGTTTTGACGGGCCTGCATTTCCAAATAAAAAGAGAGAATTTCTAGCTCTTTGAAAAACTTGCAGAAAATCAGGTCCCTATGTATTTAGGAATGTAAATAAATAAATAGTGCGATTCTCTTGGAATTCAACATCAGTTTCTGTTCAGCTCCGCCCTCACTTATACTTACCTGAGTGAACCAACCGATGGAAAACTTCGCCTCTGAGAGAAATTTTTTATTCATTTCGGGGGGGGGGGGGGGTACGTATAGTGATGAGAGGAAATTTAATCAACTATTTTACAATTGCATGGCTTTCGTGTTAATAAGCGTAAGTTAATGTCAGCTAAAAATTATATTAACATTTGTTATAAAGATAAATTCATTTTTTTTTCAATACAGCCAATGTGCATAATAAGGAAATTGGCAAATGAATATAGTCGTTTGACCAGTTCCGAATAATTAATAATTTAAGAGCTGATAATTAATAAGTTCAAAAGTGTAAAAATAAATTCATTACATATGGTATAAAGGCTTATTTATGAGTGTTAGAATTATGTGAAATTTTGATTTTGTGCTGTCAGTTTGTGTTCGATATCGTACTTGAAACAGGCGTCATACTTTCACAATGCAACTTATCTGCATCACCGCGACGCGTTTGTCTGCAGAAAAACGTCTGCAAAGACGGCAATTTTTCACATAAAACAACGTTTCAACTATCAAAAGTAAATTTTATATGTATTTTAATAAATACCAAAAGCTTGCCGAAAATAAATAATTAGACCACCGAAAGATATCGGAATATTTTCGTGTTGTCATTTTACTAATTCCGAATACCCATT